TCTTAAAACACCCCTTTTACCATAGTAGCTTGAATAGGCTTGAAACGAGCACAGCCTGTGGGGAACACTAGAACTGGGAGCCAAGTTTTATTGTCTCTACCAAGTTCAGCCAGCCATACAGCAACATATCAACGTTCCAATACGCACGCTGCACCTGCAAGACTGAGGTACGCTCCAAGACAAATATTTGCAATTTTTTCATCCCAAATCTGCACAAATGAAAGTATGCAGATTGCAGCACCAGACTTCTACATCTTGGAAGCCAAAACAATCTGTAGTTACACTCCACATCAACGGTGCCTTACCATTTACTGAGTCCTTAATACTCCCTCAATGCTAGTGCTAGGAACTGTGCGAGAGGTTTCATGTATTAGCTCCAATCCTCACAGCAAATTCCAATCTGCTGATGAGGAAACTGAGACCAGCGAGGTCAGGGTGACTTGCCCAAGGCCATGAAGCCAGTAAGTGGTGGAGCTGGGACTCAAACCCAGTTCTGCCTGGCTCCAAAGAAGCACCTCCCTGCTCCCCCTCCAGCTACCCTAGCTGCTGGAGTCACTCACTGCAGAACCAGTGCACCTCTATCAGAGTAGAGTCACGTGCTAACTCTTGGACAACGAGGGCAAACAGCTGAGAAAAATATCACACCTCAAACCGAAGCACAAGACCCAAGAGTTCCCAGCAAGGAAATGCAGTCACCTCCTTGAGGATAACTAGTTCCAAAGGCGACGGTTCAAAATGCAAGAGAATCCACGGGCCTTGTAAACTGTGCTGTTGGCTGTCTCTCAACTGACTTTTTAGAACAAGGGAAATGAAACTCGAGAGTATTTTTGGTCAAATTATCTAAAACCCTTTAGAAAAGGGCTTTTTAAAAACAGTTTGCTTTTACAACTCACTTCAATGGGCTTCAGACAAGCAAGGACAAAATCACATCAGGGGCATTACTAATCAACTTCTTCTCTACAGACTGGAAAAGTATTTTCTTACCACACTACCAGGTGGCTCCCCATACTGAGAGCAGAAATGAAAACAGCTCTGGGCGTCACGAATCAGATCTTGAGGCCACAGTTGCAGAAAGTAGGTGCTGTCTCCCTCGAGTAGGAGCTGCTGATCTGAGACCTCCTACGGGGAGGGTGTCGAAGGAGAGTGTTGAAGAAACTACAGCGGGCGGTTTGCATTCATGAGGGAGCTGCTGGCACCACTACTCCTGGTGTTTCACTGCCATGCAATTGTTTTCCAGCTTCCAAGCCCTGAATCTGGCAGAGAGCGTGCTGTTCTCACAGCTGTATGTGCTCTATGATCAGTTGCTCTGTGGCATGTGGGTGTTTAACTAGGTAAGTGACTGGTCAGAAGAGGTTCTGCAATATTAAAAACCAAGGAAGCACCCTGCCCCAAGATTTTAATGACCTGTCACTATACTATGCTGACCAAGCAAAGTGACACACTAATATTTGCAACTTTGAAATGGTTTGGGTTCAGGACAGGCAAATAATTTCCGACAGTAAAATTTCAGGCATGACACGGACAAAAAACATAACCTGTAATATAAACCACTTCAAGCATGTTTATTAGACAATAAAAAATGTGATATTTGCAATCTCAGCATTCTTCCAAACTTCTGAGGGTACACTACATAATTTATTGGAAGAAATGCTACTCTTCAGCTATGGGGAACAGGTTCTATGCAAGATTCCAAGGCTCCCTTGCCTTTCCCCAAAGCTGATAATACAGTACCCTAATTAAGTTGATAACAATGTACCTGCCTACATAGTTTAAAAAATTTGGCTCTCAAAAGAAATTTAAATCATTGTACTGTTGATATTTGGCTCTGTTGACTAATGAGTTTGCCGACCACTGCCCTAGCCTCTCAAACCCCCAAAATGCAAAAAAAATTTAAGGTCTCAAGGATTCTTTAAGTGAAAAATACTTTCAGAATTGGAAGCTCCCGGAGAGCTGGAGACTGTGCTTCGTTAATGTCACTGCCCATCACGACACTTTCATGAAGCTGGAATGAAATATGATCAAAATGTGATTTAAAGAAGACTAGCTGACGGCTGCCCCCTGCTTATTGACAGGCTGGTGCAATGTTCATCCCGGTTCTAGATTTTAAAAGATGGAGATTAAACTCCCTAACTACAATTAAAATCCTTCCATTGTAACAAAATTTAAAAATGGATGCTTTTGATGGCAACTTGTCACCCGGAATAAAGATATGCAATAATATTTAATAAAGTTGAAAAAAACCTTCCTCATGGAGCAGGTGCTCTACTACAGGAACGATAAAGTCTTGTAAGAGATCAGGTCAACCTCAACAACAAATAAAGGTTCTGGACAGGCATCATGAAACAGATCACTGACTTTGCGGCTGAAATTAGAATACAGTGCAAGGAACATACATTACCAAGTGGTCAAATGTAGACAAATTATTTTGGCTCCAGTTTTACCTTTGTGAAACTCTCACATACTTGCTTTTTATAGGAAGACAGGGAAGTGATACCTTACAAATACCTAACTCACGGTAATAAAAATAACAAAACACAAGGAAGAATACAGGTACAATCTGCTTGGTTGCTTATTGCTCAGGAGCAAAGTAATGTCAAGCCTTAAGAAAAACAAAAACAAATCCTCCCCCCCCACGCAAAACTTAAGTTCCTTTCACTTTTTCATAATACAGATCTTATCCTGAGGTCCCAAAACCAGCTTCAAGATGACTGTAATTACACACAAAACCATGTCTATTTCACCAAGAGCACCCAAAAAGGCTTCAGTGACCTCAAAGAAAGGTTAAGAACCCCCGAAGTAGGCATTTCCAGATACACTGAAACTCAGCAGTGAACATTGTAAACAAAATTATACCAACGGCAGCGTCTACCAGTGGTTCTCAACCTTCTGGCCCTTTCAATACAGTTCCTCGTGTTGTGACCCAACCATAACATTATTTTCGTTGCTACTTCATAACTGTCATGTTGCTACTGTTATGAATCGTAATATAAATATCTGATATGCAGGATGGTCCTAGGCGACCCCTGTGAAAGGGTCGTTCCACCACCAAAGGGGTCGCGACCCACAGGTTGAGAACCACTGGCTCTAGCTAAACACATGTGCACAGTCCTGATGCCAACAACCAAGCTTTGCCTGCCGGCTCCCGGGATCACAGTGCAGCTCGCCACTCTCCGCTCAGCTTCCCATGGGAACATCACCTGCATTCTGCGCACACACACATACACACTCACACACGCCAGCCACAGCAGCTCTGCACTCCCTAGGCACACACATGTTGTCAACAAAGCATGTGTGTGCTTGTGGCCATTTCCAGAACAATACCGGCCTGACCATCTTGGGGCGGGGGGCAGACACAATCTCCCCAAAATATTGCCTTATTTATTTACTACTCCTTGAGGATAGATGTTAAACATTACAGCCAAAGAAGAAATGTCCCCTACACCATAGGTGTGTAAATAACCGGGCAAAAGCATCACTCAGGCTATTCCTGAGGGTCCACTGGAGACGCACAGAAGGGAAACACTGCAATAACGCTGCTTGAGCAGGGGGACAATCAAAGACAGGCTCAGGGAGGCACATCCCGAGAACATGGTGTGGCAAGCACCCTTCTCCGAAGGCAAAAGCACATTCCTGTGACTGGGACAAGCCATTCCTGACAATGGATCGCGATGACAGTGGCTGCTCAGCAATCAGGAAGTGTGTGTGCGCGCGTGTGTGTGTGTGTGGTGGGGGAGGGATGAACTAGATGTGATCAGAGATTGGCCCTCTTCAAAGAAGAGCATATGGGATCTTAAATTGTTAAGGCAGACTTGGAGGGTGAGGCAGGGCGGTGAGCTTTTCTACGGGAGACATCCTTCGACAATGAACACGTTATGCGCCCAGGGAACAGGGGTGTCACTGCCTCCAGTGTCTCCCATCTAGGAGTCTTCAGCAGAGCTGGATTGGAGGGGAGGCGGAGGGGGGTGGAGAAAGGTCGGCATTGCCCCCCGGGGAGAGTGTGGGGAGGCTGCACACGAGATGCATTTGATCTCGGGCGGCACAATACTCCGGGGGTGGGAGATCTGGGCCCCACCGCTGGGCGGGGGAGGCAGCGGGTGCAAGCCGCCAGCTGCAGGGCAGCACATTCGTCGGAGGACGGATGCAAACCTCCCCTCGGCCCGCGAACCCGTGCAGACCCAGCCCCCTCAGCCTCGGGGCCAGCGGACTCTGCACAACTGAAGCCCAGCCCGGATCCGGGAGCTGAGGCGGGCGCCCCCGGCCCAAGCGCGGGGCCA